TAAATTAAACATTCATTAAATTTGAAATTCGTTAAATTGGACATTTGGTAAATTGCATATTCGGTAAATTGTACACATTCTGTGAATTCTGCATTTGTTAAACTGGAATTTTGTTCATTATTCGAGTGGATTGAAGTTTAAAGCATTTTGATATATGAATATGAGCCAATATCTTCACCACAAGAAACTGCTTAAAAATGTTCGAAATCCCTTAATCAAAACTTCATTGAAAAATTGAGAGGTTGAGCTATCCGAATAGCTCGAATATTTTTAAATACATATATCTTAATTTTTCGATTACTTTAAATGTTTGATCCAATTACACGATCTTATCATTATCAGCTGTTTGTATTATCAACATGAAAATTACTGACATTCTATTTCGCTTTAAGACTCAGTTAGTCAGTACGCACGGTAAAAACTTAAGCGAACTTAACCCAAAGCGAAATGCGCAAATAACTACACATGTATATTTAAAAAGAACGAAATAAACAAAGTTCGGCGCTTTTAGTTATTTCGTTCCTATAAATTACACAGGTAACATATGGTTGGCTGCGCATTTCGCCTTAATTTAAATTCTTACGGTATGTACCGATTAACTGAACCTTTAGTCGGTACGTACCATAAGAATTAAGCGAATTCAAGCCAAAGCGAAATACGCTAATGACTTTCGATAATATCTAAAAATACGTTGAATGAGCGTTAGTATTTCAGCCATATGATGTAAAGCAAAGAGCAGCAAAGATTTAGATGAGACTCACTCCTCAGTTAGGAAGAAATTATAACCAAACATATTACTTCAATAATTATCAGTGATGAGACGTTCATCGGCGCATTATCGTAGCACATGTGCCTGAAACACCGTGATGCCAAACCCTCACGGCAGATAACAATCTATATCAATTAAGAAGTTACCTCTAGTTGTGCAAATATCTCAATGTTCGATATGATTTAAATACTTTTGTTTCGTAACAAATGGTATACATGTCTGTACGGAACTATGTTTGTTAATACTACAATAGCAGTAACGAGCAGTTTGGCTTTGGTTATTATTATTATTAAAAAGAAAGGATAGTGCACTGCGACCTAAAAGATCTATTGTGCCCCTTACTCGAGTTAGAGTGTTTCTCTAAGTCCGATTTCTTTAATGAAAGACAGTATAGCGCCTACCTTTCCTAGTCTTGAATCTTTATGATCCATGAAATACTCTCCTAGTTGTTTCTTTCGCTTGTTCATCAATGCCGGGCACTCCCCAAGCACATAATATGCAGTTTCTTTCTCTTTTCTACAGTATCTGCAGTCTGAGTTGAATTGAATTCCTAACTTCGATAGGTGATTATCCAATCTACAGTGGTTTGGCTTTGATTCTTTCATATATTTTTATTAGGAAATTCCACTTCAAGCTAAATGAGTTTCTAATCTTATGGTTTCTTTTGTTAAAGTCGTCAGAGTAGGTCGTCTTTCTTTTTGAGTAGTACACATATTTCTGGAGCTACTAAGCATGACTTAGTTCTTTCGCTGTTGCTATAATTTTCTTAGCAACTATTGAAGCGCGTGTTAGGGTCTTAGTGTACAATAGTTCCCTCTAGTTGAACTATTTTGATTATATTGGTTTGCCTAGAGTTTGGTTAGTATAAGACCATATTGGCTTTTGAATTTATTTATATAAATAAAGAAAGAATTGGCTTTAATGTCAGTTTCCAAAAAAAAAACCTTAATGTAGCTTTCTAATGTTCAACAAAGAACTGAAGAACTTATTAAAAAATTAAAAAGTATAAAGAACAATTGGTTGATTTAAATTAAAAGAGAATTCCGCAATGAAAGAGTTTATATGATTAGTTGCTTATCGTTAGTTCTTTTCATTATTATTATTATTGTGACTTTATTTATATGAAAAGCACAACAAAAAACTTATATTGCTCTTAAGCTCACATAAGTGGAGGATAATAAGCACAAGCTGCGTTACATATAGACTGCAGTGGAAGTTAGTATAATTTTTACTCAATTTTGCATTTTCATCCATAACTTCAGTTGCAGCTGCTACATTGTATATACGATAGGAAAGTATGTTTATGTAAGTACCGCATATAAATTTATAATATCAAATACACCTGAGGATATTGTGCAACACTCATGTGCAACCATGTATACCGGATCGGTATATTGAAAATGATTTTATAGTTAACAGCAAGGAAAAAAGTTTATTGCGAAATGTACGAAATGTAAGGAATGCAAAGAAAAATGAACTTCAACGTTTGTAATGAAATGTTGCAATTTACTTAAACTATGATTTTGTTAAATGCAAGCAAATTCATTGTGCAAAAAACCGGATTGATGGAGTTGAGGTTGAGGGCAGCAATGTTGCGAATAGCAACAAAGTCTTGCAAAACTGTATGAATCTGCATTTTTTATGATATTTTTTTTTATCTTTTTTGTAGTTTTTATTCTTGTTTTTTTTGATACTTTTCTACTTTTCTTATTCCCCACTTTTCATCTTTTTATTCGTTTATTCGTTTTCTTTCATTAATGTTTCTACAATTTTCATTTTGTGTAAATATATAGCATTTTGATTTTACAATCGGTTTAAAATAATCCCTGATATACCCTTTGCAAACAAATGCGCACATGAATGTATTTAAGATACACATTTACATACAACACACAGATACACACATACAATCGCACCCACTTTCACATACACATTCAGATACACATTCACCTATATTTGTGTATTTATGCTACTTCTATGCATTTAAAATGCATTTTTAAGTTAAAATCCTTTTTTTAAACCAAAAAATATTTTTCTCGCTCAAATGGAATTTGCATAAAAATCATTTCATTATTACTTTTGCATTTTTTTATTGAATATTTCGTTTAATTTTTTAGTACTCATGAGTTTTCTATTAAAAATTTAGTGCACAACCCGAAATATTCTACGAATTTTATGCTCCTGTTTTATGTACATAACTAATTCCTTATTCTCGAGAGGATTACAAACTTTGCCTAATGTGCATAAATACTTTAGACTTACTCACATGCAGCACTGAAATATTCTTTGATATCTTCTAATATAACATCCAATTTTGTTTATTTATTGTTATTTAAATTTTTCAATATTTATGATATTTATGATACCTTAAAGCACAAATATTTCTTGTTATTATACAATTATGTTGAAGTTGTTTTTAGCTAGTGTACTTAAGCACTTATACTCTTTTTAAACTCGAGGTATTTTCAAAACCCCTCTTTACACCTTGACAAGATTATTGTTTATCACTTCATCAGACTAAGCAATAATTGACTCCAGATCTGCGTACCTCCCCGAGGAGCCTGTAACCATTTTATTAATATCCTTACTATTTCTATGAAAATATAATTAAGTAATCCTTTTCTAATCTAACAAATAATAAAGTCACTGCATTGATATATTTAACATAAAAAATATTTAGAATTAACCCGAAATAATCCACGATTACCATATGGTAATCTAAATTAACACGCTGCATAAACATATATAAGATATATATTATAACACCTACAGACATACCATATGGCAATGCAGGTTTTTCACATTTTCCGAAAAAGTGTCGACACGAATCGAAAGATTGACCTCATATACTTACTCAGGAAGTCAAAATACACTAATATATGCCTTATTAACAAAATCAAAAATAATTCGGCACATTACTGGGTTAATATTAACAATTAAAAATTAATTATTAAAATTAAAAATTAATGGAATATAAAGTATAGAATTAAATTATACACAATCGTAACTCTTTGACTGCCGACTGCTGACTGCTACTTAACCACTGCTACGGCTATTGCTTGCCTATATAACTGCTTGACCGGCTTCTACGTAACTCCTTGACCGGCTTACATATATAGAAGATGAATAAAAAATGTTATAAGATAAGAAGATAAAAAGACAAGAGATATAAGATAAAAGATAAGAAGTTAAAAAGACAAAAGATAAAAGATAAAAAGACAAAAGATATAAGATAAAAGATAAGAAGTTAAAGAGTTAAAAAGTCAAACAGTCAAAAGATATAAGATATTTAAGTTCAGAAAATACTAATAATTAATTCAACTTATGCTTTCAAAATAATGATCAACGCGCTACTAAACTACACTTTCTCCCTACAAAAGTTCTCGACTCCCATTGTACTACAACTGTAAGGAAATATAGAGTTCAAAGTTTTTTAGCATGATTATCTGTAGTGAAGGTTCAAAAATAAAGTGCTCTTAATACACACGTATTATTATTTATTCCATACTTCATTAGAAGCTTAAGGAAACAAAAAATGATTTCCATATATCTCTATTCAGTGACAATTGTCTGAGCTCGTTAAACTATTTACCAGTTTCAGTATTTATTGCTCTTCGCAATGTTGTAGTGCGTCTGCCCCTATGTCGGGTTCCCTGAGGGTTCTACGTTTGCGCTGCGTGCAATATATCGTCATCAAATAAGCCGTTATTTTCACTTTCGGATTTTAATATTTGTAGATATTTGACAGGTTTTCCTCCTGAGTTTTTCATTTGATATCGTTCCCGGCCACCATATCTTCATTATGCTTTGTAAACAGCGGTTGATGAAAATTTGTGGTTTCGCTTTAGGGTTGCATTGGACACTCTTGGACAAATTTTAATAGCATGGAAAATCCTTGTATGCCTAACGAAATTACTTAGTAAGTTACACGTACTACAGTAATATGCAAAAAAATAGCCAGTTATGGCAATTCATTTTGTATCTTTTTTTTATTTACATAAAATTTATAATGAATATGTAATATAAACTACCTGAAATATAGAAAATAAACCACAGTAAGAATATGTTAATACTTCAGCTATAATAATAAATAAATCATAAATTCATTCATTCAAAATAGTCATAAACTTGTTTTTAATTATCATATTTAGATTTCATAAAGTTGGTCATGATATTTTATTAAACTTGATAGGTATATAATTTTTTTTCATTTGCTGTAGTTGAAACAAAATATGTTTGAAGTACGTTACCAAATTATCTTTGACGTTGTATTTGCTTATAAAATTCTTGTATTGTGAAATAAATTTTAAGAAAATAAAAATAAATCGTAACATGGGGATCGCAGGTAAGCGAATATTGAAGGCGTTGATTCAGTTGAAAAATCCTGCAAGTGCAGAGGATATCGTTAAACACCTGGCGAAGACATCGAAAAAGGGCTACGAGCTTTTGCGTACTGACGTCATGGAAACCATAACCATAGCAAAAAAACTTCGTTTCATTGACTTTAAAAACGGTTTGTATAGCTATACCATTGCCAATAAAAAGACACGCAAAAAGCACGCTAAGAAAGATAATAAAAATAGCTGTGGATTCAATACTGAGAAACGTCCAGAGTCCCCATCAAAAGAGTGGATACAATTTGATGACACGGAACCACGTGAAAGAATTGCGAAGAATTCGGAAGACATTGGATACAAATTGGGTTCCCAGCAATCATATTTAAGTTACATAGAGGAGTTTAACGAAGTTAATCAACCTCAAGCATTTGATGAAGTGAAGAAGGTGAAGCCGAATTTTTCGGTTAAAAAACTGAAATTGAGCCATGAATTCAAAGAAAAAAAAAGTAAGCCTTCTTGTCATTTTTTAATTTTTTTTTTTATTGAACACAAATGTCATTTATAATTTTATTAAATTCAGGTATCGCGAAAAAAATGTTTGGGTTGAAATTTAATTCTAATAACGAAGCTTATTAGATATTATAATAACAGTTATGACAATAATAATTTATTTTCAGAGATATATAATCCTTTCGTGACTTTTGGTAAAAGACTTAAACGCTGTGCGTCCTCAGATGGCGAAGAATATATCCCCAATAAGAAAAGAAAACTGACTTCAAAACGTAAGTTGAATTTAATTTTATTCGATATTCACATAATTTAAGAAGCCGATTTATTTACAGAGGATAGTGATCGTATCTTGGTTCCTCAGCGAAAACTTGGGAAATATATGCCCTCAGATGATTTATCAAAAAACCGAAGGGGGTCAGCAAAATGTAAGTGGAACACAATTCATCCCTAAAATCATTAACTACAGTAATCAAAATTTTATTGTTCACAGCCAACCATCAGATTCCAACTGGTCAAGCAGAAAAGCGAAATAGAAGTTCTGATAATGGAAGTGCAACTCGTCTTTGGAGCCATCCTCATTTGTTATCACGTGAGAAGGAACAGCCTGCAGCACTAAATGAATCTTATATTCAATACAAAATTCATGATATAATTGATGATTTAGCGAAACTTAAGAATAATTCAAATTCAAACACAGGTATTCAACGTTTGGGTAACTCAAATGTTGGTGTTGCGTCCCATAACCGTACAAAACAACGTGACCTAGAAAGTAAGTAGATCTATAAACATACTTATTTATAATTTAAGTTAATAAATATATTACAGATTTCGTAGAACAGCCGAATCACTTCTTCAAAACATATGGCAATAAAAGTGAAATGAGCGAAGACATTGTTAAGAAAAAAATTGTTGAAGTGATTCGGCAGTTTGACCTACTTAACTCGTACTCAGGAGTTACGCTTTCGGATATAGATAGTGCAAAAACCATTATTCATGAGATTATAAATAATTATGCAAATATAAGTGAATCATGTGGCGAAAGTTCTGAGAAAAAAAGCACAGACACAGATAGTGTTGATAATTATATGGATGAGGGTCCAGGATCATCCTGGTGGGATTATTCTAAATAGTATGTGTTTCGCTAAAGATATTTTTTGTCAAGTGAAAATAAATATTTGTGATAACCTCCGATCTAGTTTCTAATGAAGTTCAAGAAAATTTGAAAAACTGCTACATTAACGGACTCTTTGACTTGTTTTAATTCTATTTTGTATGAGTATTTCACTTGAATTTAGACACAAAATTCTTTGCATGAATAAAAAACAAATAAAAAGCTGTAACGAAATATATATAGTGATATTATTTTTTTGGTTTAATTAATTTTAATCATTAATTATTATAAATGAATTAGTCATTTTTATTTTATAAGTTAAGAGTCAAATAATTTTTTGCATTCAAACATTCAGCTATGATAATGACTTTACTTCTTAACATATTCAATTCCTGCTAAAAACTGCCAGATGAGTTAATAGGAGTGAGTCACAAAAGTTAACATAATTAAAATTAAATTAATCATTATTGAATAAGGATTCCCTATAACAGCGATGATATATTAATATATAATTCCCCAACATTTTTGAAAATGCCCGGGATTTTTAGAGAGAAAAAAAATGTTAATAACACTCAGTAGGTATATTGGGTGTCATTAAGAATTACCTTAAATTCCAGGGAAGCACCCACTACGTGTCGTGTCTGGTTTAATTCACTCGCAAATTCACTGGAAGCATGAAGGCATGAATTAATGTCATCGAGAAGTTGATCGAAGCTACAATTAGTGTGAAATAAAAGACTTAAAGTTCGTTTATGCCACATGCTTATTCATTTATAAAATTAAATGATTAATACATTAAAACTCTATAAATTATACTAAGTACAAGTTGTGAGGAAGTAAACCATATACATTATCATCTTCTACAAAATCTTTAACAAGAGATAGGGTACACTACTGATGATTCTAAAAGTGAGCCACCTGTTATAGTAAAAGAAGTTATGCTTTGCGCCATCACAGTTTCTATTGCTATAAATGTAGTCGGGTAGATCCTACGGATAATTCCAAATGTCCAGTCAGCATCTAAGTGAGACAGTAATTTCTATCTTCCGATTTCCGTGTAAGTCAAGCGATTTCATTTGGTATAAGTCTTGCTGCCCATATTCCTTGTGGGCTGTTGTTCCAATTGCAATGGTTTGCTCTTGATCTTCTCATGCCATTTATCAAAGCGAGTAATCTAATCGTTCATTTCTGCTATAACTAGTAGTGTCACAAATATTAATACTATTACTAATCACGATGCTTATGAGGAATACATAAATTAGTCAGTGAGATTGGTGGTACTCTGCAGAAACCCTCCAACTATCAAAGAGTAAAAGTGCTTAGATACACTGAATCGGAAAATGCTCAACATTAGACTATTTCTACGAGTATAATTATCATTATTATTGCAACTATTAATAGACAAGCTCTTCAAAAAAGAATCTACAGTTGATCATCTCCAACTCAACAATAGTTACCTATAAATATATATAAATATACTACATTAACGAATTTGCTGCTTCTTCCTATGTTAACGGAAATAAACTTATCATTCTCATTTTACATCATCCGTTGTGAAATATTTTTTTAAGTGAAGTGAAGTCCAGCAATATCTACCGTTTAATCTGGAAAGGTTATGATTAATGCACAGTAGTTAATTGTTTTTTTATTGTGTATTTTAATTGACTTAATTTTAAAGAAGAGTTATAATTTTGCAGAAGATTTTCATAAATCTGTACTTCAGTACGAAAATACTATAAATAAAAATATTTTGTGTTTTTTTTTTTTTATATTTTTCTCGCATTCACAGAGTAAACCATTTCAACATTTTTTTAAGTTTTCGGTCAGATAACAAATAAAAAATTACGAAAGCACAAACCCATTAACCTCATACAACAAAGTCATTAAAGCTAAGCTGGGAAATTTCCGGAAAATAAAGTCACTTTAGGGATTTTCACTTGAGGTAATTTTATTTGAATTTTTTTTTTGTTGTTGTTATTTTTGCTGTCGGTAACTTGTATTCTAGCACCACTGCTGAAGCATAATGTCAAACCAGAACCAAATAAATAAAAAAAATAAAAAAAAAAAAAATTAAGCATATTAAACAATATTACAAAGAGTAAAACAAAAAATATTGTAAAAGTTGTGACCAACAGAAAAAATTATTTAACCCAACAGACGTAGGATGAAGAGGCTAGAAAGCGTCAACGGAGGCAAATGAAAAAACAACTCCAGCAATAAAAAAGGTACCCAAATCTGCAAACAACAGTTTAATGAAATATTTTAACAAACTTTACGCACACCACCATTTTGTATTTTTTTTTTATCCTCCCACCGAAGTAAGCAACAGAAAACTATGGCGGGGGCATAACAGCTAACATTGCCTCAACATTGCGTCAATGTTAGCCGTTCCAGGCCCGCTAGTGGTATGACTAACTAAAATTGGCTAACTAAGTAAATTCGTTTAAATAAACAGGCAAACTCATCTAGATACATACACACATATGCACACATACATACATAGGTACATATATACATATGGGAGCACATACATATGTGTGCATGTACAATTACAATACATACATTTTATGTTATATGTATTGTATCTGTGTGGTACCGTTAAATAGTTGCGTGCAAACAACAGCTTCTATAAAAGTGAAACAGTGCCATTCTGTGTGTTTCGTAAGGCGAAGACAAATTAAAGGAAGTACATGCAAGGACGAAGACAATGCAGTGGCATAAGCTCAGTTTTATTTTATAGCTATTGCAGATAACGCATCCTTGCAACAATCTTTTCAGAAGTTTACGTGCGAGCACATCCTTTAGTTTTTATATTATTTTTATTAACTTTCTTAAGGTTTCTACTTACTCACGTAACTAAAAACAATGGATTTCTTTTACAATCTTGAGAATGCAAAAAAAAAGGACAAAAAAAGTAAGTTCTACCACATGAAACACAAAAATATTTTGGGCTTCGATAGGAAGAAAATTAAGTGAGTCTTAAAATTTATTGACACTATCCAGTTTGTCACTTTCATGCTCATAAAAATTTCTGAGCCATACCACAAAAACAACTTTTTTAATCAGCAAAAAGCTGAAGATAAGTTTTATTTTATATATCAATAAAGAAAATTAAGTGTTAATAATGCTGAAGAGTAAATCATACCCGACAAAAAGTTGGTAATGTACCTTACCGACATTAAAATGCAAAGAATTTGGAACATAGTTAAATTCTTTTAATAATTAAACTAAAAGTTGGGCTATGAAAAGAAATAATTCTAGGCGTTTTTAGTATAAGTAGGTGCATATTCATTATATAAATATTTACTCGAAAACACGAGCTCTTCAAAAGGTTCTTCACGAAGATTGGAAGGTACGTAAGGCTGAATGTATAAAATCATACAATAAAATATTATTAAAAGTATACATTTCTAAAAATGGATGTGTACTTAGCGAACCGCAAGTAATACACAATTCAATCTAATACTATGTACATCATTTATCTCATAGAGCGCTAAGGGACACGTACAAAAATAAAAGTGATGCTGCAGAGTATTTTTGGTGACAATATAGTCACCGAACGCTAACAACTCGTTAAAGCTATAACTCCCTGACAATACAAATACAACAAATAGCAACACAACGTTAAAATAAATAGCCATCCAGAGCAAATCGTTATTCATAACTCTGGTTCAGGCATCATTAAAGGTGTCATAATGATATCTATGGTATAATTAAAACATATACAGTCAAACTTCCAAAATTCGAAGTACCATTTTGCAAAGAAAAGGCTCGATCTATGGAGACTTCGAATTAGAGAATTTTTTTATTTTTTTTTTATTTTTGAAAAGAAAAAGTAGAATTACATTTTAAGATACATCAAAAAAAGAATTACATTAAATAAACCACAGAAGTTAAAATATTCAGAAATTAGGGTTTGGAAATTTAATTTTTTTCTTATATTCTGTAATAATAGTTTTCACTTTATTCATACTCTTACAGTGATCATGAATTGTAGTATCATTCGTTTGTAAATATAAATTCAGAATTTTGAATGAGTCTTCTACTTCATTCTTGGAAAGCTGATGAACAATTACATTCACCGAACCCTCATCATTACTTTTCGTTGCGCTTAGAATTGGATCCAGTAATTTAGAGCCATAGTGGTCAACAATATCATTATCTGTAGGAAAGCTAGGTATACAAATTTCATTGTCAAGCTCAATATACTCGTTAAGAGTAGTATTGGAAGCTATTTTATTTACTTTAAACCACACACCCAGCTACTGGCATTTGCACAAAGAAGTAATATAAAAAAGAAAAAATTAAGCATTTGGTTTGGAAAAAGGGACTCCCCCTAACAGCAAAATGCATTTACATTTAAAACAAAAATTCGACTTATGGAATGCACTTTCCCATATTCCTATTGGCAGGGAATTCCAGTTATAGAAGTTCCAGTTATGGAAGCAGATTTATATGTAATTAGTTTTCTAAAACCTTGGTGCACTGTTTTTGGTTCGATTTCCTCTTAATGAGACAAACGATATAGCGTTTGTTCAAAGATATCTATCAATATTGAGCGACATCAATTCATCAATAGTAGAATTAAAACGCATCGTTATTCTTATATATCGTCAATCATAAAGATATAGGCAACATATTTCTAACTAATACTGCATTATTTTTTGGAAGTTATTTGAAAGTGCAGTGTCCATGTACTTTTTAACAACAGAACAAATTGATTATCGTACTGTCATAAAATTTTATAAAAAATTTAATTTAATCGAAATTATAACCGATTTAGTGAATATGTCAGATAACCCAATTACTTTAAAAACAAAGATTTGAAGTGAATTAATTTGTTGAAAATTGGCCGTACAGGCATTGAAGCAAATTTACGTAAAGGACATGGAAAATTAGAAAAAATCGTTGATGGTCCAAAAAGGATATAGCATAAGATCTAGACACTTTATTTATACACATTAAGCAGTGTTCTATGTCGAATGTTTGGACTTCAAAAAGCTACATTCATAATGGGTTCGACATTCACTCACAATGCAACTAGTCCAAAGCCACTTTTTCAGCAACAACTGAAGTGCTTTGAAAGGCTTTAAAATAATTTTTTGCGTCATTTTATTAGTATGAATGAGACTTGTATCTACTGTAATGATATTATATTAAAAAAAAGAAGGGAAAAACATAATATTTTATTATTATTATTATTCAAATATTAAGAATATG